CTCCCTCCCATTCTTTACATTATTATAATTTTTATCACATGAAAATGAGCAAAATTAAATAAGTAAAAACAAACCTGGAAACTGTTAACAATAAACTTATAAAAATGAAAGTACTGTACATTACATTATCACTGGAATTTTAATACAGTACAGTAAAATAAACCATCAGGATTGTCAACTTTAATACAGTATTCAAAGTTAATTATTACACCAAAGTTGAGGGTACAGTACTATTGATACAGTACAGGTAAACCTCTTTTACTTATCCTCTTTGCCACTGATTGGCTCATTAGCCATTTGGGCGGTCGTTCACGTCTGATACGCACTGTTGGCAAATGCTGGGCATGCACTCGATAAACGATGTCTCGTTCAGCGATATTCCGCTTTAACGATGGTCATAAATTAAAACCATCTCGCGATATACAATAAAAAACCAATTGGTTTAACGATATCCATTAGTTAGTTTTTTATCTCTAATTCAACCTATGGGTTGTATATACTCAAATTAATCGGTCTTGCAAGGATTCGAGCAATGCTAATTATATTTTTCTATGTTAAGTCAGTGACATTTTATAAGGAAACAATATTAACCCTAGGCAACACACATCTCTCGCATGCCACCACACGGCCAACCCACGCACTACAGCCGTACTGTACTTGGTTCTTTGTCATTCGTAACCCTGCCATCACATTCCTCCACGATTATTGGTCAGCATCGTACATTATACTTATCCTTTTATTTCCTTATAGTGAGAAGACATCACTAACATTTTGATTGAACTGTGTTATGGTGACTAAAGTGATATTTTCTGTGATTTTGTGACTGAAGTGAGCAGTGTAACTGAAAATGTCTGGGAAGGCCAAGGCTTCCAAGACAACCATGTCTCTGAGGTGAAGCTTGACATTGTGAAGCAGCATCAGACTCCCCCAAAGGCTATGTGGGAGTCAGAGTGACGTCTTCACTCTACCTACGAGAGTCCACTTAGCGTGGAAGGGGACATGTGATGATGACCAGTCTTATTCTTCATGATATGGCAAGTGTTGATTTAATTGTTTTCTATTGATTTTATAAGTATAAAAAAAATTTGTCGGTGATACATGTGTGTTTGGGGACTGACTGGGAACGTATTCCATTGAACCCCATGTTATAATGCTCCCGATGTATGATATTTCACTTAGTGATGGATTTTTCAGGGACCTAGCCCCATTGTTTATCGAGGTTTATCTGTATAAAAAAATAAAATAGATACTGTATAGTGTGTAAGTGATATCTCCATTAGCCAGAACATTTGGTGCAGAGCACTTCCAGGAATGAGAGATTTCTGGGTAACGAGACGACTCTCAAAGCCGGAAAAAAATTCCTCATTCCCAGAATTTTCCGGGGAAAAGAAAAATGTTCTCGGAAGTTCCAGAAATTGTGTATTACGCCATCTCTCAAACCTGGAAAAATGTCCCCGGAATTTCCCGGGTACCGAAAAAATTTCTGACCCTGTATAATGCGCCTAATTCTCATTTCTCAAACTTAGGAAAAAAAAACTCAGTCACTGGAATTTTCTGTGTACTGGGAAATTTTTCTAGGAATTTTCCAGAAAAAGTGCCCCTCAGAAAATCGTTCCCAAAGCCAGAATTTTTACTTTGGGAATGATTTTCTGAAAAAAATTTCAATTCCGGCTATCGGAGAGTTCTGGTTAAGAGGGATTCTGGCTAATAGATATTACTTATTGTAACTAGAGTTGGTTTCATTTCTTGCTTGATGTTACTGTATAAGAATGCTGCTCCTAAGGCTATGCGTAATGATAATTATCTTTGATTTTCAACATAAATTTTAACACAAAAATTATTATTACAGTGTATTGTATAATAATATTTGGCAATTCCTGCTAAGTTGTATTACAGTATAAATACAGTACCCAGTAGTTTTAATACAGAAAATCCACTTTAAAAAACCTACTATATTTCAGAAACCTATAAGCAAACCCAAAGTCATTACTAATAATAAATAATAATAATAATATGTTTTCTCAAACCAATGTTCTTTACAGAAAACAACGCAGTTAATTTCTAAAGTCAATGAGTGAGTTCTGTTCTCTCATAATTTGACTATTGTGAATTCTGTTTGTCTAAAACCTTCGTTACACTAATGTCACATAGCTACTACAGGTACAGTATTATTGTTTAGTATTCCGAGAGAAAAAAATGTACAGTAATAAATCTTTAACTAATTTCTTGTGTAGAAATAACGTATCAGACTAAAACTAAAGCATCGATTAACAATATAATTATATCTTGAATTTTCATGTGACCTACTTTAAGAAAATGAATTATGATACTGTATATATAACAATAAGTGATTACTTTTCATGTGTATTCATATGACATTTAATAATTTGGCAATAACTATAACAAAACATATAAAGAATGTGTTAAAATAATAAAGTAGTTTAGTACCAATACTGTACAGTAATCCCTGGATGACATGCTGATATGTAAATGCATTTTCATTTTATACAAAAAAAAAAAAAAAATCTTAGTACATACAGTATACTGTAGTACTTCCTAAAGGTAAACTAGTCCTGGCCAGACCTCCCTAAGGTCCCAAAACAAAAAGCAGCTGCAACAAGGAGCAAGACCATTCAGCATAAACAAAAAAGTTAAGGAAATTGCCTTGTATAAAAGGGATCAGCATTTCCTACACATCATATTCACCAATTTGCAACCTCACTACAGTGCCTCTGTAGGAATGTTTCAAGACTGTTCTTATAACCTGTTTTGTGGAAATAACCAAGAGTGGACCGAAACTAACAATCCTTCAGATAGTTTTAGTTGATAATTCAGTATGTGGTCATCCTCATTATGACTTACACTGTAGTACACATCGTTATGGTGTCTAGAACCTGAAGACTTCTCGTATGTGCCTGAACTCACTGTGTCATTTAGGTTTGTGCCATACCATAAAAATATCTTGGATTTCATAGTAATCATAACATCACAAGTTTTCTCATACAATATAAAGCATTAGCAGAGGTGTAGGGGATATTGGGAAGGGGATTGTCACAAATGAAAAGGCTTAAGAAATTCTCAGACTAAGATAGGCATTACACAAGTACATTATTGTTTTTCCCCTTAGTAATATAATGCTAATTGAATTAAACAATGTTGGCCAGTCCCAGTTACTGCATTATATTCAGGAATTACCGTGTGCCTGTACAATTATTTCAATGGCATCAAATACGATGTCTATGAATAAGCTATTATTTCTAAAGCACGCAATTAAATTTAACCTTTAAGCCAACATAAATGTGGTAAAAGGTAAAAGTGTCTGCTACACATTCTCAAACAACAAGCTATCTTCCAAATTTTGCTTTATTGCTTACATGTCTTTTTTTTTGTTCTTTGTACTTTCAGCAGGAAAACTAGTGTCATCTTGCATTAGTATTGCTTCGACATGCTGGTTTTTTAAGCCCTACTTGTCAAGCAACACTTACATCTTAACACTTAAAACAAGTGGACATGAATTAAAATGTGTGTAGGATTCTCTATGCATCACCCTGCCTAGACAGCAGAAAACAGATGGTGCTGCTAATCAGCATTGTATACGTTCTCTTGTAAGTCTTTCCAAGACTCGACTCGACCCAAGGCAAAGAAAAAGCCTGATTAATTACAATCATTATCCAATTTGTGTATGGTAACAATTTGAAAAATATTTCAGTGCTCTTATTATTAAAATAACCATTATCACTCCATCTAACTATTTGAATTACAGGGCTAACATAGTAGCTGTAGTCATGAAAAAATCACTTCCATTCAAAATCATATAGTAACCTCCTGATACTGTATTCCAATTTCCTCGAGGATAAGGCAATGCTTAGTGGACCGTGAGGGATCTATTTGGGTACATGTACGGTACAAGGTATATAGACGTACAGTGAGTTCTGCTATAACGCGTGTTTTGACAACGTGAATTGGCTCTAACACGATTTATGAATAGAGGAACGATATTTGTAAAACGCGAACGCTTGTTTGCTGTAACGCAATTTTTGCTTACTATTTCTCCCCCAATTTTGTGGTATTAACTGAGAATATGGTAAAGAAGAATATCTCCAAGAAGCGTTCTGGTGATCGCATTCCCGGTGATGATCGTAAAAGAAAGGCTATAACACTTGAGGAGAAGCTTGATGTTATCAACCTCAAAATCACCCTTCTCCCCCATCAATTTATATTCATATTTTTTCAAGGTAAAGTGTTACATTTACTGTATGATTTCATTATTAGATATGAATGTAACATTTATTTAGACTGTGCTATCCTTTGTGTTAGGCTAACTACTAAATTTTTTTCGATTTCGAGTAATCTGCACCTAACCCTATTTTTTCCATAAGCCCTGTTATTTCTATTGCGCAAATTTCTATAACACGATGTTTTACAAGAACACAACTATCGCTTTATAGCAGAACTGACTGTACAGCAGTAATCTATAAAATACTAACTTGCAGCATGAATGATATCAGGTATACATAAACTTTGTAAGGTTCACTCACTTGTGCTTTCTTAAGATTTTGCTATCATACAAGCAATATTCCAGTTTTATAATGCAATATAGCATTTTCCCCTATTTATGCTCTTAGTAAAGCAGTGCAGCATGAAACAGCAACACCTTAAAATACCAATTTCGAGAAAATAAAAAAATAAAATATTTTACAATGAAAGTATATCCCACTTCCAATTCCCAAGCAGTGTTAACTTATATTATTGTAAATACCAGGTTTGCTAACAGTTTTTAATTTATTTATAATTATTATATTACAGGTTTAACAAGTTGTTTTGTTTAAAATAATTGATGAGAAGGGAACATTTAAATTTAGATTTTTGGGAACCCACTTCTTTTTTAACCTTTGATAGATACAATTACTTACTGATGGTCATGTGTAATTATTTGAGTTTTTTAAGTTTGGCTATACAGTACAGTACTATACAATTTCTTATAGTTAGGAGTTAAGCTGACTAAAACATAAAAAAAAAAAAATCCCAAAAGGTAAATTCTTAACATTTCAAAAATTTCATAAAAACTGCAAAGTATCTACTAGACATTAATAAAAGCTTAGTGTGGAGCAGAAGGAGGGCCTGAAGGTGGTGGAGGTGGTTGGTACCCTGGATAACGGCTCTGTTCATAGCCAGGAAACTGTCCCTGCGGTGGACCTTGGCCAGGCGAGGGTCTGTACTGACCATATTGTCCCCCAGGAGGAGGTGGATAACCTTGCCCATACCCAGGTCCTGAAGGATGCTGATATCCAGGTTGAGCATTAGGCATAGGTGCACCATAGCCTGGATGGCTGCCTGGTGGTGGTGGGTAGGAGCCATAGGGTTGTGGGTATGGCTGACCACCTGGATATTGACCAGGAGGTGGGTAACCACCTTGAGAACTAGGAGGATACTGACTTGGAGGATAAGCTTGATGATAAGCTTGACCTCCACTGCCTGGGTATTGCTGAGAAGTGGGTGGGTATGGACCAGGGGCCTGCTGTGGTGGTGGGGGTGCCTGAGAAGGTGGCCCAGCCTGGGAAACTGGAGGTGGTGTACCTGGGTAACTCTGAGAAGTAGGTGGAGTTGGTGTTGAAGAGGGAACAACTGATGTGGGAGGGGGATTTGGTGAAGTTGTTTGCTGAGGTGGTTGTGGTTGTGTAGGTGGATGTGCTGTCTGTGCAGTTGGCTGTGACTGGGGTGGTGGTTGTGGCTGTGGTTGTTGTGGAGCAGATTGTTGAGATTGTGTGCCACCATACATTGATGTAGGGCCAGCATGTGTAGTTGAAGTTGTTGAGGAAGGTGGCCCACCTGGTGCTGATGATGTAGGGGGAGTGGAAGCGGACTGTGGAGATCCTGACAATGTTGATGAGGATGATGTAGGAGGAGCAGAGGATGGGGGCATCTGGAAGGATTGAGAAGTAGGCCCGCTTCCTGGATACTGCGATGATGGAGCAGAATATGTAGAGGAAGTTGAGCTTGGGACAGGAGCAGAAGAGACTGGGGCAGATGTAAAAGTAGGAGGAGTGCCAGGAAACTGCTGTGATGACTGGCTGAATTCAGATGGATTATTTGGTGGAGGAGGTCCCTGAGCCTGGGAACTTGGAGGTCCCTGAGGGCATTGTGGGTAGCCTGGGGTGGAAGATGGGGGTGGTGGTGTTCCATATCCCTTAGCACCTGGAGCAGGTGGTGTAGAAGAGCTGCCAGGATAGCCCTGGGGCCCAGATGATGCTGGTGGATAGCCTCCCTGACCATACTGTGAACATCAAATGATTCTATTAGAAAAGAAAAATGTCTTACAATATAATTCAACTGAAAAAAAAAAAAATTAAGTCCTAAACCTCATCTATTGAATATATATATATATATATATATATATATATATATATATATATATATATATATATATATATATATATATATATATATATATATATATATATATATATATATATATATATATATATATATAGTTAATAGGCAAATTTTTACTTTAGGACATGAGTCCCTAAGGGTTGACCAATATGCCTTTACAGTGTATATTGGTGTGTTTTAAACAAATCTAGCCTTCATTTTTGGCGGAAATTGCTAGTTTTAGACGCCAACCCCCACAATAATGGGGAGAACCTGGGAAATCGGGGTTTTTGGGTGGGGGGAAAACGAAAACAAGTCATCTGACCTAACAAAACGTAACCTAACTTCTAGCCAGGGGCTCCCCCCTCGGACCCCCGGTAGGCCTAACCTGACCCCTAGCTGGGGCTCTGCCCCCAGACCCCTGGTAGGCCTAGCATAAACTAACCTAAATGTTTCGGTAGTTAAAAATTTTGGGGCGTGCCATGTCCGAAATTACAATACCTTAGTTAGAAGTGGAAGGACCAGGGATAAGTAAGAATTGGATAGAATGATCGTCTTTCTCGTAAAACTCGGCAATAAACTTAAAATAATCGTAGGAGCACAAACGACAACCAACCTCCACCATGACCATTGTGAGACTGGTCAAGGAAAATTACCCAGGCTGCTATCGATACCTCATTGGTCACGACTGGATGACGTCAGTCAATATTGCGCATACGTAATGTGCCGATAACATCTCCTCACAGAATAAGTCTGAATACTACTTAAAATCAATTACATTCAATTGTGTCGCTATTATCCATTTCTGCCATATATATATATATGGGATTCAAAATGCTCAGAATAGCGAGATCTATTATGAATGTTTCAGTAGTTTATAACTTTCGGGGGCACTGTGTTCGAAAGTAAAATAATTCCGTTAAATACTGTACATGACAAAAGCTGAAACCAATTCACATAAATTAGTTAAATTATTGTAATTGTCCATTACATAACTACTATTAGTCATCTTATTTGGGTGTATACCTGCTGTCCCTGTGGTGGGTAGGGTTGTGGATAGGGTCCTTGAGAGTGAGGCAACTGTCCATATGGCATCCTAAACCCAGCCACACCAGGTCCTGGGGGTCCACCACTCATGCCTGGAGGACCTGGTGGCCTATACGGCGTTGGCTGTTGGCCAGGATATGCTCCTGGAGGAGGTGGATGGGGACCAGGAGGACCCTGTCCAGGAGGACCACCCTGGGGACCCTCACTTCCTTGACCCTGCTGCCCAGGCATCTGTGGAGGCTTTAATAAAAATTTACACCAGATCACTTAAACTGACCAACTCCACCCATTTACTGTACAGAATATGTAAAAAATTAGTTTTGGTAGGTGAATTTGGTGGCTATCTTCAATAATAGCCACTAATCTTGGATTTTCAAATGTCTAATCAAATAGATTTGAAAAGTGACCTACATATATTAACCATGCCTAATTTCATGCTAGTATCACTATTTGCACAACAATTATGGTTATCTGTTTCACTATGAGTGAAATTAACATAAAAACAGTCAACCAGTGAGAACACAATATCTGTGGTTCCATTAGTAAACCCAGATTAAGCCTACACCCTAAATATTAACACCAAAGGTGTTGAACGTATAACAAAGCATATAAATCCATATTCTTTAATCCCAGTATCTAATATAATGGCTGCCAGATCAACCATACTGACTACTGTAAAAGCAAAGAATATGAGGTTTAGAAGTACACACGCGACATTTTATGAACACCTGCTCCTTAATTAGGCTTACCATATTTTTTTATAGAAAACTAGCAGTCCAGGAGCAACTGCCTACTCAGTATAAAGTAAATGATCTTGCTCATTATGTATGTCATTTAAGCAAGAGAAAATAAGAGTAGAAATTCAGTACACTATGTCACAATTCATGTAATTACAAATCAAGAATATTTGCATGAGATTTGAGTGTTGTCCAATACAGTATATCTGCACTGTATTTCACAAAATTTTAAAATATTCTGACAAAAGTATACAGTAATAAATAATGAATTTATAGCGACACATTTTATTCAAGAAATATATGTGGATATCTTACTGGCAGAAGCTGAGCCATATTTTGTGATGTGTCTGCCATCGATGCCAAATACATTAAATTTCGATGAAGAGACTGTTGGTATCTGAAAAGTGACACAAAAATTTTTAAACAGTACAGTATCACCATCATCACCATCATTTTATGGCCATTTTCCATGCTTGCATGGAATAACCTTCAGAAAATCACTGGTGGGTCTAAAATGCAGGAACTTACTCTTGTGCTAAAACATGTCTATATTTAGGCTTACACTAGTTCATAACATATTTCTATAGCTTGGTCAAAACTGCCTCGGTACAGATATCACACTCCTCCCACCCTAATGATCATACACATTGCAGATATATATTTATCCAGTAAAATTGTCATCAAAATTTACAATTAGTTCAGCATGTACTGTATACTGTATAGACAATGTAGGTATATACAGTTCTGCATATATGCACTATACACTGTAGACAAAAGGGGTATACAATTTTCAATGTACCTAGGATAGCCAACAAAGGCATCAGATGCTTATTCCCAGCAGACAGTTAAGAGTTCACTAAATTTGAGAAACAAACTTTACAAAAACCAAGAATGGATCTCCTTTATATACTGTTTTTAATGCTTTCTTTAATAGTGTAAGTAGCACTAATAATGAGAGGAAAATCATGAGTTTCCTCTAATAATTTAAAGAATCATAAAACAATTTTCTCCACTGTATGACATACTGGTGAAAAGCTACTTACTGAAAGCACTCTTGAGCCTTCCCCTGGCTCTGATACTCAGTGATGGTCTTGATCAACTGCGAATTCTCATCCAACATCTGAAAAATTATAAACAGTTTACTAATCTGAAGATGGAACTACCAAATTATTTTAAATTTCAGTAAATCCTGTATAATGAACACTATGTAACAGAAGACTGTTATAATAAACACCCTAAACCTACCTTGTAGTTGCTTTAGGTAAGGTTTTCAAAGGTTTGCTTTGTGTTATTTTTAGTATTTACCCCACATTTTCCCTCTACTTCAGAGCCCTGCCAACTATGAACAACCGATATTGTCAGTAATTGTGGGGGTCATATCTCCATAATGGCTCATTTATGAAGCAAATGAAGGTCAGATTTGCTTGAAATTATTGCAAAATACACAAGGAAAACCTATATTTGTTAGTGGTTTCCGTGGTCGACAAAAAACAAATCTTTACCAAAAACTATTTTAGTACTGTAATAGAATTCCCATTCGAGCATAATAATTTTATTTTTTAAAAAATTTTCTTCTATAGGAAAAATGGGTAATTGTTTTTTGCCCATTCCTCTTTTGATATGAGAAATTGTTTTTCTGGTGTATTTTGGTGTTTCAGTCAAATTTGAACTTTGTTTCTTGTACAAGTTTTTTTTTTCTAGAAAGTCGACCTAACCTTACCTAACTTCCTGGACCCCCACCATATTAACCAGAAAGTATTTATTTTGATATCTGGTACCAATAAATGCAACTTTGTTGAAGCGACATGATGTAATTTTACGATTTTTGTGGATGCGAGAGTACGCTCAGAACGAGCAGGTTGGTTGCACACAAACAGGGCAGATGACAACATGCACTGACAATGGCAGATACCTAGTGTTTGAGGGTAAAAATATTAAAAACTAAGTATTGGCACAAGAAACATAACTCTTAAATATCAATTTATAATAAAAAACAACAAACATATTTAGGGTTATTAGAAACACTGGAAGAGGAACGGGTAAAAGATTAATATTAGCCGCAAAATGTCCCTAAGTTGCTGCTTCAAGCATGCAACCATCATCTAATATAATATTAACATACACATCTATCCTGTACCTAATAGACTAAAATTTTACTCTAGCTCACATATAACCTGAAATTAAGTCTGCCTATAGATCAAGCAGTGTCCAGTTGATCATGGATAACACTTATCCATCGGTCCAACGAATTACCCAAAAGTACCCAAAAGTATATTAAATCAGGGTAAAATCTTAACGAATATATGTTTTACATCAATAAAACCTGATTAATAATGTTTTCATTGAAATGTAGTCAAAATAATGAAATTATAAACAGCGAAAAAGGCTAAATTCCAAAGAGTCACCTATCCAAAATGGAGATATAATTACCGATGTTTCTGTTACTTTGGGGTATTTAACATAGCCGTAGGATTTACTTTTCGTTAGGTTAGGTTAGCGAAGTGCATCACGACGGATCTGAGTTATCTCCCTTGTTCACGAACTCTTTGGAATTTAGCGTTCGCCAATACTGAAAGTTTTTCGCTGTTTAATATTTCATCTTACAAATTATTTTTACAAAATTACACTAAAAATATTATTAAACATGTTTTGTGTATGTATAACAGATATTCGTTAAGATTTTACCCTTATTTGCTATAATTATGGGTACTTTTGGGTACTTTTGGGTAATTCGTGGGTCCCCTTATCCATGAGTAGTTCATACTGTTCATAATCACAGATACTCGCATCCAAATAGTTAAGTGATGCTTTGTTTTCACTTGCTAGAGCCAGTGACACAGACAGTGGCGTACGTAATGCAACTTTAAGGTGAAATAATTTTGAGGAAATTTTCTGGCCCAGGATCAAATGTTTTATTCATGATATATCAAATGGCTCTCCTTCTATAAGGTGTGACCAATACCATGAAATAAGAACACTAACCAACAAGACACCTTCAATATAAAAATAGTTTCCACTATCCATGTTAACACTTCCAGAGACAAAACTCGTCACGTTTTGAAACAATTTTTGTTTTCCACTCGCCCTCCAGGCCACCTCCAATTGTTGACCGCAGTATTACCTTTTGAATCTGAGCAGGGTTGGGTGGCGGCCTTCCTCGTTGAGGAGGCTGGTTAGGGTATGCCATAGTCATGGTGGCTCTGGAGACTGTGAGAGAGGTACAACTGGCTGGGGTATTGATGGTATCCACCGTCCCGGAGGCCTCACTGACGCCGCCGCTACACAACATAAACAACGACCACCATCTAACACACAACCGAACCCTCACAACACTGTGGCTGTGCACCACCGAACCCCACCGTTTCTCACATCGGTGTCATATTGCATGGTAATGAAACCTCTGATACTGATCCTTAATAGTATTTATATCGGTTAATTTATATTATTTCTAATGTTAAATGTTATTTAAATTAGTTAATACTCTTCCAGTGAACATAAAATTGAAGCTGGTAAACTGTGTAGTGAAAGTAAACATATTTTATTTTGGAAAACTGTAGGTACAAACAATTGGTTCCTAATTAAATTTTCCTGTATCTCCCCAAAGTCAAACTTAAATTCTTTATGCGGATATAAAAAATAGTCCCAGCTAATGTAAAGATTATCCAGTACCCGTATCAGAAAATAATCAGGTGTAAATTTATTTACAATGTGTACCTAGGAGAGAAGCTGAAGGACACGTTGAAGGGGAATTGCAGAGCTGCCAATAAACAGAAAGCTTTGATAAAAAATAGAGAGAAAACAAAGGTTATGGTGGGAAAGAATGAAAGCTAGAGACGATGAGGGTGAGAATAATGATCGCCAAGAATACCAGGAGAAAGAGAATATAGAAGAAAAAGTAATCAGATTAGAAGAGAGACAAAGTGAATCAAGCAACTATTGTAATTGGCTAGCTACTGTAGGTCTTAATGGAAGAGCGTTATAATAAAATATCTTGAGGTAGAGACTCAGTTGATTGAAAACGTCCAAAGGAGAACCACATATTGTACCACACAGGTGCCAGTACTACAGCACCTTAGTTACCCTACGAGATTAGAACGCCTGCATTTTTTTACAGGGATTAGCTTACCAGGTGACAGGTCACTGACCCACATCGGGGCCTGGGGGGCGAAAAGGTAATAATAATAATTCATAGTAAATAATTTTTTTAATAAAAATACACAATTAAAAATAACAAAACAATAATGTTAATAATAATAATAATAATAATAAAAGACCCTAAATAAAAAAAATGGAAAAAAAATCATAAGTGAGAAACAATATACATACTGTATGTTGATATGTTGTGTTGTCAATAGTAAGAGAAACAATTGAGACCCTGCAGTTGTGTATAAATGAGGCAGAAAGTCAGATCAGCAACCTGGGACTTGGTCACAATTTTTGTGATGCCATATGGCAGCAGGGTCTACCATTAGACATCACATTATGCTTCCAATATCTTCCCAGGCCTAGCTTATACCAAAGGCGGGAAAGGATTGACTTAATAGAAGTTTATAAACACCTCAGAGGATATTACTCGATCGAGTATTCATACCCGGAGCTGGCGGATGCCCGGCCTACTAGGGGTCATCTACAGCTTGAAGCTCCCATTCACGCTCAGTTCGTCCTGTCAGTACGACTGCACAAACCGGTTTGCGCAGTCCAGACTTTAACATTGCTGACGCAGGTTCACTTTACTATACAGTATTTTATCCTCTTCGCAGCTGATTGGACTGTTAACCGCTTGGGCGGTCAGTCACATCTCATTTCAAGGGAGGATCCAGGGGGGTCCGGACCCCCTTTCATCAGAAAATTTCAATAAATTTTCTATAATGCTGTATTGTACTCAGGCATTTTTGTATAGCAAAAAATAATTACTATTGACCTCAGAATATCTCCTAATATCAAGAGCACATGGCTTCAAAATATATTTAAAGTGCCCATTATACTGATAAGATTTAAAAAAAAATCTAGGGGCTTACAGCGCCCCTCCACCCCAGCTGGTTGGGCTCGTTTTGCTCGCCATGTTCCCCCATCCAAAACTTCTTGGACCCCTCCCCTTTTAATATTCCTGGATCCGCTCCTGCTATTACGACCAGTTGGCAAATACTAGTTCCAGAATGTTTATCACCTGCTTCAGTGTTGGTCAAGTGTGGTTTTTGAATGTGCTCACATTCGGTTCCGTTGCGGGGTGCGTGATGTTTGGATTCTCTCACTCAGGATGGGATGGAGAAAGGAAACTCACAATGTGCTCTCTGTATACATGTTGAATTGGATGTACAATGCAGCTTGGTGCTGGGAAGTGGCAGCGTGGTTACAAGCGTGATGTAGAGAGAGCTGGTTGGTGAGGGTGCTCAGTGGAGGACAGCTTGTGGGTCGCCATACTCGCCGGAGGGAGCGAGGACCGCCAGGCAGCGGCGGAGGAGGAGGAGGAGGTGTTGCTTGCTGGTTGGTGTAGGTAGAAAGGAAAGTGGTCACCACGAGGTCAGGTCTTATATAGCGGAGGCGTGGCTTAGTAGTTGACCTCCATCATGTAAGGCGGCGCTGGTTGACCTAGACCACGAGGCAAACACTGGGGAATTCGCGGGATCGGCTACTCAGCGAGAGTTGTAGTCAATGGGATGACATCGGAATGGAGTGAATCAGTGGCATTCCACAGGGCTCAATGATTGGACCACAGCTATTTGTGATATTCAGAAGACTGTGTACCGCAAGGAGACATATTGTAGCGATAGAAATAAGCGTCCAACGGCGGGCAACTAATGATATATTTGATCTTAGGAGAGAATCAACTACTAGAGGACACTATGAGAAGGTATTTAATTACAGGGCAAGGTTAAATCTACGAAAATATCCTTTTGCAATACAGATCTTAACTGCTGGAACGGTGTCTTGTTACCCGATCGGAGACTAGTTAAATTTGAAAGGAAATTGATCGAGCATAGAAGGATCAGGTACAGGAACATGGTTTTAGAGCTCTATTTAATGTTTGATAACTGCCTCGTCCGCCACAACTACAACCACAAGTCATGTAAGTGTACTAAACGTAGAGCTAGAGCTGCAGGATGAATATCCTCTTTCAGGAAGTCGTCTGTGAGTATGATTTGAACTACGGTTCCGATATTTTATAAGGGATCTGGGGTTCGGTTTGTAGGGATTCGGCATCTGGCGAAGAACAACACCCATCTTCAGCTTCTTTTTCTTTCTTTTATCTTCTTCACCAAATGATCGGCTCGTTAGCCGCTTGGGCGATCAGTCACGTCTCTGTTAAGCACTGTTGGCAAGGACTGGGCATGCACCGGTTCCTGAATGTACCTGAACCTGCTCCAGTGTTGGTCAAGTCTGGTCTTGAAAGAGCTCACACTCGGTGCCGTCACCGAGTATTATATAATATTATACCATTTGCGATAAAAAACGGAATCAAATACTCAAAGTATAATGCTGTTAACTTTTTAAATAAACTCCATTTGTATGATAATCTTTTACAGAGGCAGAAGTTATTCATGCAATTTTTAGTTCACTTCGAGGAATTGATTTTAATTAGCTTATCATATTTCAGCGAATTAAACTTCATTTGTACTTCTAATCAATAAACAGTGTATGTAACAGTATTTTTAGCAGAGAACTAGGATTTTATATTTTTAATACAATGTAATTTAAGTTCTTTTAAATCACCCGCCCAATTTAATCACTTCCCTGCTCGCCAGACACTGGTGGTACTGCTGCCACTAAGGTCATTTCACAATCCTATCCATAAATTTTTGATATATCAGAATATTGCACTGTATTCCATAGAACATTAAGCGTATCAAGCAAAATATGAATAGGGCATAATCTACCAGAGTGTTGTGACGGCACTGAGTGTGAGCTCTTTCAAGACAAGACTTGACCAACACTGGAGCGGGTTCAGGTACATTCAGCAGCCGGTGCATGCCCAGTACTTGCCAACAGCGCATGGCAGAGACGTGACCGATCGCCCGGGCGACTAGCGAGCCGATCAGTGGCGAAGATGATAAAAGCAAAAAAGCAAGTGAATCCCTCCCAACGTCCAGCTGAGTCAAAGATAAATATTTATATTATCAAATCAGCAGTATGTTACATAACATAAATGAAAGGGTTCAAGTGAACAGATAAACCAAACATTCGATATGTGAGTTACATCTTAATCCTCCCTTTCGGGATTCATAAAAAAAAGAAGTGTCCCTTTAAGTCCGCAAATCCCGCTGGGTACGTATGTGAAACTTTTGGCAGCAGATATAACACAAATGCCACTATAGTTGACCCTAACAAAAATGGTTTCACACGGTATACGTACAGTAATGTATATGCAGCAGGTGGCTCTTTAAAGCACTGTCATGGGAAATGCTCTTTCGTGTGTCAATATATAGATAAATAAGTAAATGAATAGGTATAGATAATCAATAAATGGATAAATACATAAATACATAAATATTCAGTGATTTTTTTCAATATTTTAAAATTTTACACTTCTCGCCTATGTAGTGCCATGCTTGTCGATCACACACACACACACACACACACACACACACATATAGTAATTAAGGTAATTTGACTAAGGAACCGACAAAGTCATCAGGTGATTATTTCCAGTATGGCTTCACCTTTTCTTTACCAGACACTACTTCATCGGCTGGAGTTACGAGAATATATACACTGGTCGTCTACTTGTACAGTATTGGACTTCAGTTGTAGTATTAAAATCGCGATGCGGGACACTTTTGTTATTCGCGAATAAAAGTGAGGTAGTTCTGGCAATTTTTATGCTGACAAAAATATTTATAAAAATAGTGAAAAATACATAATCCTGAATAAATTATAAATATGTAGATAATTATGGAAATTATACTAGTGACATGTTGATGGTTATGTTATACTGACATGACGGGGTAATAAACACCTGGGTCCATATTCCCCAAGGTCAATAAGTTAATCTTTTTCTCTTAGCCAAAGACGCCCAAGCTGCTAACGAGCCAACCAGTGGCGAAGAGGATAAAAGTAAAAGTAATAGAGTAGGTTGTTGGCTCACAGTACAACACAGGAACGACGACCAAGTTATATGATTGAGGTGGTACCGCAGCTACAATTTGTGTAAGGTACGGCACGGATGATAGAAAATCTTGATCGTGTTATAACTCTAAAGCACAGCAACCGTCAATAAGGCGAATGATCTCAGAGACCTGTAATTCAAACAAAGGAACGTCAGTAAGTAACAAAATCTGCTCCGCCATAACTGATCGCCAGTATCGCAAGTTCCACTCTATGGTGGAGGGGTCTGGTGGGCTGCAGGAGACACCAGGATCCCGGGGGTCCTTCAGGAGGGTCACTGTTCTCTTCAAGGTAGGCTGAGCAATGTCTCTCTGGCGGTGACGAGGATGTGGGTCCAACATGGCTAAAGCAGCACTGATGTTTTCCTTCATGTTGTTTATGTAGCGCCACCTAGACACCTCGTCCTCTCTAGGTGCTTCGATCAGTGTGACGTCCCCCATTGATGCACTTGAATATGAGAACTCTCCTGTTGGTGCTGCAGGTGTGGTGGCTCCCGGGGTCTGGCCTGGGTATAGCGCCTGACTGGGGTCCATCCATGTCGGTAAATTTGCGTATATGTCGTAACTGGGGAGGAGAGCTGCCAGAGCCTCCTCCACGAACGACTTTTCACTGATAATGGGGGACTTTGGTGCCGGGGGTGGGTAGGCGCCTCTGTCTGAATAATAATAATAACAATAAGAGTAATAATAATAATAATAATAATAATAATAATAATAATAATAAAATGCTGATACCGGTAATAATAATGATTTTAATAATTTCTTCTTATTAAAAAAGGCAGTTAATTCTGAACTAACATTTGAGCAGTGTGTTGGGCCAAAGAAAAAACAGTGTGAATGTTGTGAACAGTTTGCATCAGTATGGAACGGGAAGAGGTTGGGGGAGGTGAATGTGAGCGAATGACTGAGATTAAATTGTGAGTGGTCTTACCTAGTATGCGAGAGGCCTGATTGACGATCTTCCTGAACACACCTGCCAGGGAGTACCCAATCTCGGTAAGGTGTTCCCATCGTGACAATCGCCTGTCGCTCCCTCCTGCCCACCACCAGGAAGAACACTTTATCAAACTAAACACGACAGCAATAACGCCATTTTTTATACTTTCGTTAATAATTAACGGTTTATTGAAAAGTTCTGCAGCCCGAAGGCTGAAAATATACATTGGACATAAATGACTTATTACATACATTGACATTGGTGGTTTAACAAAAGCCTTCATTAGAGAACGGTAAAGGAACATACAATGAACATACAGATTAATGTTTACAGTGGAGGTCACGTAGATCTTGTGCGCTGGTGTTGAACAGCAGACACATAGTGTAGTAACTTCCTCACAGATGGTGTTATGAGGGGCATCACGTGGTGTAGTAGTTCCCTCTCAGATGGTGTTATAAGGGGTTTGACGTGGTGTGGTAATTTCCTCACAGATGGTGTTATGAGGGACTTGACGTGGTGTAGTAATTCCATCACTGATAGTGTTATGAGGGGCCTGATGTGATGTAGTAATTCCCTCACAGATGGTGTTATGAAGGACCTGATGTGGTGTATTAATTCCCTCACAGATGGTGTTATGAGGGACCTCACGTGGTGTAGTAATTCCCTCACAGATGGTGTTATGAGGATCCTCACATGATGCTGTAGCAACTCATTCACTACGTGGTGTCGTAGCATCATGGGGACACCTCGTGGTCTGGTGTCACAGGACCCTCACTCACTCACTCAAGATGCAAACTGCCGTAAAGCAGGAAGGCTATTGCTGGTATTGCCCTGACTGCATAGTTAAGGTGAAAGAGGCGATTGCAAGCCATAAGGGAACGAGTTCCCTAGGGACGAAAATATATGAAGCTGGAGCCTTGCTGGTTGCCAAACTAGAACAAGTTGGGAAAGAGATCCTTGCTAAGACTGAGGAAGTAACCGACAGAATGGAGGTGGTTGCTAAGAGGAGTTATGCTGAGGTATTAGCAGGGCCACGGGAGGTGGCGGAGAGTAATGCAGGATCAGAACAGGTTCTACAGCAGCTAGGGATGTCATGGTCACGTTGACTGCTAGTCTGTTTTAACACTAATGATTCTTATTATACTCCACGAATGCAAAACATAAGTGGGTTAGCTATCCCTAGAAGAGACGTGTTTTTTCCCATCGACGTTTATACTCATGATCCCTCCCAGTAAGTCAGCCTTCGAACAGAGTTGTCAATACGTTTTTTCCACTTCTGCTGGCCAGCTCAATCTTGAATTAGTCTGTGTAAATCAACTTTAGTAATTCGCCAGACCTTTGTCAACTGAGGGTCATCCTTGAATGAGTAACAGTTGGGATGTTTGTAATTTCTGTCATTGCGTGAGTAGCGATCGCTGGCAACTCAGGGGTATATATACCAAGGCGGGAAGGAGAGTCCTTCCATGACGCTCTCCCGTTTGTCTCCAGGTATGTAGCAGTGTTCCCTAGCCATTCAGTTTGATTCAGTCATTGTAGTGAATTATCAGTGTTCATGCTTTAACAGTGGAATTGTCATTCACCCAGTGTAAGAAGTAATGTAAATTAAATGTCGTCTGACGTTGCGAGACGAAGGATTTGTTTGTGATTGTCATCATGCTTCCCTCCCTTGACGCCCTCCTGTTTGTCTCCAGATTCCAGGGTGTCCTCTGAACACCCCATCGGCGGCTGAGCCGGTGGGTAACCAGCAGGGATCAATATGCTCATTGATGTCGGTGATTCAACATAATTGAGACGGCAGGTCCGCCTCGTGAGCTAGACCCCAGACTCACCATGTGTCTGGCTACCACCAATCACAGCAACGTAGTGAGCCCCAGTGTCCTACCCTGGGATGCTCCCTGGAAGTTATGGCCCACAGTGTTTGATGTATATGCTTAGGGATAATTAATTGGAAATAATTATCCCATGTTGGGTAGTGGACCCATGTATTTGCTGGTTTCAGTATGAATATGTTGTATGTTGTGAGTGCATCTCATATGCACTACTAACAGTCTGTGAAATATCTTAAGTAAGTTTGTCTTGTAACTGTACTGTATGCCACGTACCACCAGTAGGTGTGAGAAGTAAAGTAATGTGCAAGGAGCTGTCATGTAACTATGTATTGTGAGTAGGGCCAAGGAACTGGTCCTGCTATGTAATGTAATGTAACACCAGTAAGGTTGTGTGCAATAAGAAAATACTGAGTTTGCAGTTGAGTAAGCGAGGAGTTGCACCTTGAAGTTATATTTTAATAATATCTCTTTTTCCCTTTGATTTCATATTAATAAACCTGTTCTTCGAGTATTTTAGGAGTATTCGTTTTCCCCACAGTAGTTCACCGTTATTTCCGTCCAAGTGACCCTGATATCAGAATTATAATATCCATGTGCCCTAGACCCTCGTCCATGCTACCAAAAAGAACTAAGGTTATGCAGTAACCATTGAAGTAAGTAGAAAGAACAATTGAATTAAAGAACTAAGACAAGAGAAGTAAGAGTAAAAGATAAGGCAGAGTATGAGTAGAGAGAAACCGCCGCTGTTATATTGGTGGCAGCTTGTTTGTTACGCCCCCCCGTTACAGTGGGTGTGTGTTGAGGAGGCGTATGAATATAGTTATTGAAATTGGAAAAATATGGAGTATTAAAATATATTGCAACTGTAAGTATATAACTGACGAATAATGAATTTCTTATACGACAGAGGTAATGACAGTGTACGTACCAGTGAGCAACTCGTGCATCTCGTGCATCTCGTGGCAAATGTTGACCAGCTCCTGGAGGAGGATGTTGCCAGCTCTTACCAACAGGGGCGGCCACGTACACACCTCCGTTACCACGCTCTCCACCACCTCCACCACACGCCACTGGATTATAGGGAGAACGAGATGTTTTATACAATGTGTGGGTGTTTCTATATACAAATATGAGAGAGAGAGAGAGAGAGAGAGAGAGAGAGAGAGAGAGAGAGAGAGAGAGAGAGAGAGAATAAAGTACTTAAGACTTACAATATTGTACAGATAATGACGGTGAGGGGTGGAAGGCGACAGATTATAAGCAGTTTACGTATTTTACTCCAGGATGGACAAGAACGACCTCGCCTTTAATCAAAGGAAGAACCTGTGTATATGCTAACCTAACCAAAATGTAGTCAAACCACTATAAAACAATTGTCTACATCCGAGTAAAGGGGAGATACAAAAATTTATTTATAGATAATCGTCTGATTTTGAGTTGATAGGGGTCTTGAAGTTTTTGATTGGTGGAATCTGAGGTGGTTACTCTGGAAATAATAAAAATACAGAGGGTATAAACACATCCCTCTGAGGTTAGGCTGAGGTGACCTTCATTTACTGCACAATTTCACTCAAATGTCCTCACCATACTCACCAACAAATTTGTCTTACCTTACTTAAGTGAACCATAATAATTATCTTATATTGCTACCTTCCTCCTTAAAACAACCAGGGGTAAAGGTAACCATGGTCAAAATACATGAAGGTACCCACCCAGGCGGTGAGGAGGTGACCGGGGGCGGCTCTCGACACGACCAGAGTCAACACTTGCGCCAGGAAGGTGAGGCAGGGCCCCTCTAGCGCCTCACCACGCACACCACCTCTCCCCTGCAGTGCCTTCCTCACCTCCTGTGGGCACAAACAGTCATCATCATACACGTCTTGGTGGGGGTCAAAGGTCAAGGTCAGAGACGATGACCTCTGATGAAAAAAGAATACTGTATATTAAAATATATCTGTATCTCTTAAATAGGTGGATCAATGTGAATGTAATGTTGGTAATTAATACACAACATATCCATCTACATTATTTAATAAAAATAGGTGGTGTTGTTTTATTTGTATATATTATTTTTTTAATTCCTAATTCACCATTTATCAACTTGCTCGCTGTTCTGGAGGTTGGCAGGGTTGTCAGACTCTTAAACAGAAAAATACCAACTTCCAGAGAAAATGAAGGAGAAAATACCAACCTCCTGTATATATATATATATATATATATATATATATATATATATATATATATATATATATATATATATATATATATATATATATATATAATAATGCCAGCTTTTATAAAGATATAAAAAAAAATATGTAGTCAATCACAATGTACACAAATAATGACTTCCCACGGCTCAAGTATAAATGCTTGTTTGCTGTTTGTTATCACTCTTGTGTCCCCATTATGGTTAGGTAGTACAGTAGTATGCTAACTTAGTGTTCTTTTCTTTAGGCGTACCGAGAATACTGTAGGTCGAGACAGTTATAAACACACACACTGGGTGACGCGGTGGTCATGTCCTGCCAAGTTCCCACACTCGAGTAAGGGGAACCGCTTACTGTAAGTATGCTTGGCAGGGCATTTTCTCACAAATATTCTGCCAAATATTTTCTCACAAATAACCTACCGGACATTTCCCCACGTAAATACTGACCCTTTTCATTCAACATTGAAATTTCTAGGCACCACCCTTACTAGTCATACAATAAATCGTAGGAATTTTACCCAAAATTGTTTAAATGAAGTTTGGATTCATTTTAAGTCACTAATGAACCGCTGTCATCAATGGGCTGGGTGTGGTGTTGGGGCACTGTGGGCTGGGTGTGGTGTTGGGGCACTGTAGGCTGGGTGTGGTGTTGGGGCACTGTGGACCGGGTGTGGTGTTGGGGCACTGTGGGCTGGGTATGGTGTTGGGGCACTGTGGAATGGGTGTGGTATGGTGTTGGGGCACTATGGGCTGGGTGTGGTGTTGGGGCACTATGAGCTGGGTGTGATGTTGGGGTGTGGTATTGGGGCACTATGGGCTGGGTGTGGTGTTGGGGCACTATGAGCTGGGTGTGATGTTGGGGCACTATGGGCTGGGTGTGGCGTGGGGCACTTCTCAATTCGGCGAAAAATAATAAACGACCGCACAAGTGGCTAACAAGCCGATCAGTGATATTTGTATTACCCGGATATTTCATCGTTTTTCCGATCATATGGATACTTCCACAGTTAGTGTTCTACTGAGCTACACTCAATAATGCCACCACTACCATATACGCCTTCAATCTGCTTACGAAGCCATCTGGGAGGCCCGTGAATTTTCTGTTGAAATTAAATTTTGCAGAACCCCGGCTTACCAAAACTCACAACCCAGTCTAGAAATCGTTGCAACTCACTACCTCAGATAAGTGTTTTCCTGTCACAACCTTCAAATTATCTTCGACGGTGAATAGATTTGACAACTCTTTTAATTCACCATTTCACCAATTATCAACTTATTAGCTTTGATCACTCTTTGCGTTCTTTTGTACTACTCGTACAACTACTACTAAGGTAACGAATGAAAATATCGTACGTAGATCGAAACTTTCCCTACCTCGATACAGTGGTGACATCTATTCCAGTCATGGTGTAGCCTCAGCGTGGCCCTCCTTAGCCCTAACTCCACCTCCTTGACGATCTCTTGAAGCGCCTCACCACACGTTCTCACCTCGCGTCTTGCACTAGGCTGGCCCTCATCTGTCTCCTCCTCACTCCTGCCACGAGAACTATCAATAGTGTGGTCGTCGCCTTTCCTGGTGGTGTTGGTTACGCCGCTCATTACATCACCAACTGTGTTGTTAATACTTGTCCTGGTGTCACCGTCCGTGTTTCTGTTCCTTATGCAAGAGTCGACTGTGACGGTGCTGCTCCTTTTGTGGCACTTCTGAGTGATGTTCACATCCGATGCGATGTTTGTATTTCCACTTGTATTGCTGCCGTTCTGTTGCTTCGTGTACTGGCTTTTCAGGTGCTCAAGTGTTCCAGATAAGGTTTTTGGTAGATTGTGAATGTCTGTACGCGATGTACTTCTACAAATATCAGTCATCGACACAGAGGCATACTGAATTTTGGCATTTGGTCTACTTGTAGAACATCCTGGTGGGGCAAATGAGACATTCTGACTGTTTGTGGATAATGTAGAACTGTGTTGTCTCATATGTAGACTCGATACAGTGTCCTCGGTCCTGCCTTCCCCTGCAGGGATTTGAAAGGTTGAACCAGGGAACGTAACACTGCTACAGGTCACGGTTGGTCCTACACCTGTAGCAGCCTGGTTCGTGCCACAGTCACCTTCGACATTTAGGCTACAGGTCGCTCGGGTTTTTCTTTGTGGGAATTTTTCTTTTTGAAATGGTATGATGTTAACTTGCCTTTTATTTTTAATAATTTTATGTGGAATTTTATCAGGGAATTCCATATTGTGGACAGCGTTTGCCTCGGGCATACAAATATCTGTCACACCTCCCATAACTTCCTGTGAGCTGGTGTGGTTGCCGGAACAGTCAACCTCGACAAGATCGTCGTCGTTGAAGTTGATTAGCTTAAACAGCGGCTTGACAGATATAACGGCGGATGATTTAACAGCTCCTGGATGATCATCTCTGGGGTGAGTGGTGACGGAGGAGCCACCTCTCCCTCGAGGGCTAGCAGGGTCTTCTTGTGTCGATCTACTTGCAGTGGCTTCTGCGTTCACACTGACGCCGTACTTCATATCAAACGCAGCGCCTGCGAACAAGAAAACACACTATTTCCTCCATCAAAGCGCTACTTATCACTACTGCCATCACATTGGTTTTGTGTACTGTAGATAGCATTTGATGTGTGCTCCATATACGCCGTGAGTCATTAACGGGTGGTGTTAAGCTTAGGACTGATGAAAGTCGAGCGAGGGGACTCACCAGAGTGACGAGACTGGTGGGGCGGTGAAGGTTTCTTTTCTCTGCTGTTAGGTGCTGCATCCTGCTGATTGTCCTGTCCTCCACCATCCACAGTAACTATTGGGGATGGTTCTTCCCCCACCTGTTGAATCAAGGCCCCACCAAAGCACTAAATAAGGATTCCAGCTCTTGTAAATCTTGCTTGATGAGGTTCCTGTATGCACTGCAACTCATTTAACTATATACCAAACATTCAGGCATACTAGAACGGTCACGAAGAGTAAAAAATATTATTATATGTGATTGTACTTATTGCCTAAAGAAAATACAAATAGTTTTTCATTATATTATATAATACGGGTATAACAAAGAACTTTATTTCATCTACTCTTAAACAAACATGTGACAGTTCTACAAAAAACAACAGTAATAGCAAATAACTATCAAAAGAAACATTTTAACCTACAGTACTATAAAAAGAAGGGAAGGAGTAACCATTAGGCTTACTACAGCTAGGAGGTTTTCAGTGTAGAGGCGCGGCGTGAGGTGTGACGGAGTCTCTCTGATAATGTTGAGGGCCACGGCTACCATCACCCGCACGTACTCAACACTTCTGCCACTACTGTACCAACACAGTATTACTCCACATGCACAACACCGACCATTATACAGTTTATATTATAAACATTAAATTTCAGTAGCCCACATGCAACTAACCGCATATACTTACACAGAATTATCGTAGCGCCTTTGGCTCATTTTTTATGAACACAGTCCATGAAGCTGCTCCAGCGTTCAAGCCGTTCAACTTGAGCGCCAAAAAGTACTTGTTATCAGCTGATGGCAAGTTACGTTTTCTACGAAATAAATTGACAAGTAGGATAGTCATCAAAGAATCACCATTGAATCTTCGTTTTATTTAAAGTTTAAAATTTTGAGGAAAATATTGTATATTTCTAACCTTCCATAGGTATCAGTATTGTTGTCTTAAACATTAATATTTTTTTTTCAATCATTTGAGTTTGTGGGGTTGGTCTGCGTAGTACAAGATGCAGTACTGTGAAATTAATAAATTAACATAATATTTGTAAGACGGAATATTTAAAAAAATTATCATTAGTGGTGTATGTGACCATTGGCAGGCCTCTGCCAAGGCGTCTTTTGTCTTTATCCAAATCTTAATGGGAATTAGGAATGTGGAAATACAATTTGTATGGCCTATTGTGTCAGTTTTAGATTTTAAAGGTATTTATTATTGATTCGCCATGAAATAAAATACTAATATCGAATTATATACTTAGTGTAATATGTTGATGAAGCGTTATAATAAATGGATTTTCTCCGTGATTGTATCGACATTGTAGGATCAAAACAGCCCAGGGTGCAGGCAGAACCGTAGAAGACGGCTGCTGCTATCTTGTGGTTTTATTCTCAGGAATGGCTACAATTTTCAGACCAATGCAGCGAGTTGCAACGACAGCTGTACGAGGTGTGAGGCAGCTCCACCTATCGAAACCTTGCAATGATACATTTACTACCACCGATGCTGTTATGCCCAAACCATACACTACAAAATTTACTGGTACGTCATCTGCCATATATAATTTAGGATTTCTTTATTTAATATTGTACAGTATTTGTTGTTTATCACGTGACGGCTTTGCTTACATACACCACTAGCTTTCAGACCAAATACAATATAGAATTGATTTGTTGTAGCTTATTAAATTGTGACCGTAAAGACATGAAGAATGGAGTGTGATTTTCTGTGCGGCATTTATCCCAATCTTTGTGTCTATCTTTCTTTCTCTCTATCTTTATTCCTGCTGTGTGTATGTGACATTGTTGTAGTGTGGAGCATTGTTGTAGTTTGGAGAAGGTCTATCAGTCTTAATTTTTTGAAGTACGATGTAGTTTTTGTTAGATATACATTCACGGTTAATATATAGGACTAACCCGCGAGCGAGTTATTTTTATTATTGTTTATTTTCTTACAATATTTTCATCAGTGAGTTTTGATATGATAATCATTTATTTTGGAAATTGTTCGTTTCAAAGATAATTAGGCGCCCAGGCGTACACTAGTTTATCTTGCGGGCAGTAAAGAGGCCGCGCTCTGCTGAGAGGCTTTTCCCACACCTGGGGCAATTTGTTTTTCAGCATGTGTGAAGGTTGTCGCCGATCTTACATGGACGTAATTTGTGAATTTAGTGGTAAAGACGAGCCCCTTCAATTGTTTAAAGATCACGGCATTGTTCCTTTACATTGAGACTTTATTTTATTTTCTTACAATATTTTCATCAGTGAGTTCTGATATGATAATCATTTATTGTGGAACCCGCCAACACAGTAAATCACTCCGCCGCCTGGGATGCTTCGCGCTGATGCAGCCGTATCATCTCTCGTCCAGAAAATGCCTAAAATTTTACCATGTAGTAAATTATTTCTGTTTAATATACTGGGGGGGCTCTGCTGCCCGTTAAGGAACTTAGGTTAGGTAGGTTTGTTTGGCTAGATTGGTTAAGTCTGTTTTTCATACCCACAAATGTTAAGTAACGTTTATTTTTAAAATATCAAATTTTTAACACATTTCCACAAACTACAACAGTGTTCACTATAATATAACAATGAAAATCCGGTGTTTTTATAATTGTTTTCTATCAGTTTTGCTAGCGGGTTAGTCCTATATAAATACCGTACCATAGTCACAAGTAATAACTTTGTGGTCAATTTATAGTAGAAATATACTACAGTAATTGGATAAAGGAATTTTTTGGGGTAATCTTGGAGCAGATGGCTAACACCAGAATGTATTTGATTTTGATTTTTTTCTATAGATGTTCTTTGGATGAATGATAAGATAATGCACAGAACATAATAGAACCTGACCTAAGTAACCAAGGAGACATACCTAATCTTACCTATCTTCCTAGCCGGAGTCCCCCACCATATTAAAGAGAAAGTACTTAATTTGTTATCTGGTACCAATGAAAGCAACTTTTTTGAAGCGGCATTGCGTATTTTGGGTTTTTTTGTGGACGTAAGAGTATGCTCGTACTGCGTGGGTTGGTAGAGACATTATTTTAGTGTAATATAATCAGTTTTTCACCGTGTTTTACACCACAATTTCCCTCATCCTTCATACTCTGCCCACTACAGGTGATTAATGATTGTAGATAGAAAAAAAATACATATACGTAATTAAAATAAAAAGCTGTTGTTACTATCATCCAAAAAAACGTTTTTGTGTGTGCGCTATGGTATACTTTGGCAAGCCATTTATGTGCTTTTACGTGGTTGTCAGAAAAGAAAATCGAATCAGGCTGTAGTGATGTAATGTACCCATATTGATATATTAGTACTGTACTACATATAATTTTTTTAAACATTCAAACTAGTATTAACATGGATACTACTATTTTTTTGGTAAAGTACTGTACTAATTATGCAGGTGGGCAAGTTTAATCACTATTAATATGTACTGTATAGAAGTACAGTAGTCAGCTAACCACTTCATAAACCTGCCACATGATACCATTATTAAAGACTCCACCACTCTACAGGATATATGGGAGTTACTGTGGCTACATCACTGGGTGTATTTGCTGGTGCAGAGATGAGTAAGAATATAGCAAGCTTCCTTGAAGAAAATGAATTGTTTGTTCCGTCTGATGATGACGATGATGATTAACTTTTCGTTTTCACAAGTGTTAAAGGTAAGTAGTGTCATTAAAAGCATTTATGGATGAATTGTTTACTATTTCTTCAACAAAAATTTTTTTTGTTATGTTATTTATGGCCCAAGTAATTATAGACTATCACTAATCAATCATTTGATCTTGCAATCTAGTTTCAATTTAATAAGGACACCTGTCATGGATGACTCATACAAGTGTGAAAAATGACCATAAAACAGTGAAGGTGACCTGTCACTCATGTTTTGACACAGACTATCCAAATATTCCTTAAGTACTGTACATAACACCTTCACCCCTAAAACCTAAATGAACTAAGACATCTTCACCTCCTCTGGTTTACTGTATGTCTATTGCATTCTCAGTGCAGTACTTGGTGTATTCACTGTATTCAACTTGGCCATGTTTAGGTGTACAGTACATCAGAGCAAGCTGAATTATAACCAAACTCAGTGTACACACTGTTTGATCCCATTACAGCAGAGCAGACTGAACTGTACCCATACATTACACCTGTGTATACAACTCAAATTTTATCCCCTTAGTGCCTTTCCCACAGACTTGCTTTCCAACATTCAAGTCTCTAAATCTGTTTCTTTATCTTCATTATTTTTATGCTTCACCCATAATATTACAGAATTTATACTTTCTTCGTGTTTGCTGTAAAGCTTGAATAGCTCTGAAGTACCAAAACATTCCTCTAATTAAGATTGTGAACATTACAGTGTGGTAATTATTCATTAATGATCCATGCTTGTAATTCAGAATTGTCTAATGCTTATGAAGACGGTCTTAAAATATGTTGTGAATTTTACAAGTCAATGCCAACCAGTATTGATTTGACAGCTTTATCATACCTTGTGTAGGGTGTATCAAGGCATACAGAAACCTCAGAGAGTGGGGGAAATATTAGGGAGAATGGTGCAAGACAAGTGTAGAAAGTGACTGAATAGGGCTTAGACAACTGGAAGAAATAGTCTCATGTGTTCTCATCTTGTGGCAGATCCAGGGGGATTAAGTTGAACCCCCCTTTTCTCATAAAACACACCTGGTGTCATGTTAGACTAAATCACATCAGGTCAAGTGTCAGCTCGTGCCAAGACCAACTCATACACTTAAATGGGTTGCCTGTCACCAGTGTACCAGGATTAATGACCAATACCAGGTGCAGGATAATTTATCTCTACATTAAGCCGCCAAACTGCCTCTAATCACTCGGTGTCAAGGTAACAG